TTGTTACCGAGTTGACTCAGTCAACGAGTCAACTCGCGAGTCGACTCACTGAGTCAACTCGCCAAGTTTCAAAACCACCGGATCTCGCCCATCTTGCCTCACCGTCGCCTAGTCTCGCTCCCACCTTGCCGCCGACCTCTCTCTCTCTCCTCGCCGGCAACGACCAACGATCCCTCTCTCTCTTCGCCGGCAACGACCAACGATCTCTCTCTCTCTGGCGCGAGAAGGCGAACCCAACAACGATCTCTCTCTCCTTACGTTGAAGACGATGGAAGCGATGAACACGCAGAGGAACAGTTTTGGTGGCCAATCGCAAAACTGCTCTCTCTCTCTCCTTGCCGTTGCATCACGAACACATAGCATCGGATCTCGAACAAGCCAACCTCGTCGCTTTTCCTTTGCCGGCGGCGTGACGTGGCTCACCGGAGAATCTTGTTGGGTCAACGACGGTGAGGCGAGGGTGAAGCTAGAGACGGCAGCGAGATTGAGGGGAGAACACGGCACGTCGAAACAAAACAAAAAACTTACAAAAGATAATAATAAACTAATAAGGGAGATGATTTTTACCTGATGTTCAGGAAGGAAGTGAATTGGTAAAACAATAATGTCTAGGAAGGAGACTTATTTATACTTGGAGAATCTCCTAAAATCACTTTGTGTCTAGGRCAAAATTCCTGAAATTTTCCAACAGGCCTCAAAGCCCACTAAAGCAACATGGCCATCAACCTCCTCAATCTTCTAAGACAAAGAAAAAGAAGACAAGTCAGGGAAAACACGCAGACATCGGCTCGATGCGGACTAGCAGAAACTTCCCGAGTTCGATGACAAGACGTTCACGCCTAGCGACTTCGCAGCCCAACATATCGATCCCAGAATTCGACAACTTTTACCTCGGCACCATCATAACTCGATACTGCCAAGCTGGGGGGCTAAYTGTGGGGGTCRGATTTCACCCYTATGAGATCGATATGGCGATGAGATCAACTCCACAACGTCTTGACRAAATCAAAGCGAGTCTACAAAGGYCCAGTCTGAATTTAGGCCCAAAATGATATTAAATCCATAAGCAAAATGGACTTAATTGAATAATGGGCCTAAATTAGATATATTGCTTAATGGGCCAGGTCCATTTTATTAGCTGGCCCATTTACTTAGAAGTACTATATATAGTCCCTCATTATCACCCAAAAAGGGGATCAGAATTCATAAGCAAAAACTCTTGTAACAGCTTTCTTCACAGCTAATAAAAACTCTCTTGAGATCTTTGTGTTTGCTTGCTTTCGACAGAACTTTACAAACCCTAAAGAATCACTTAGATTCTAATTGTGAGATTCGACCGCCACAAGAACTACTCAAAAACGACGCTCTAACACTGAGTTATATTGGTTTTCCATTTGCCAACATAACTGAAGAGACATGCTATTCACCAGTAGACAAACCACTGTACTATGACAGAGACACTGTTTCACCTGTCACTTCACTCTGAGCAGCCCACCCAGTTTTGCTTCTTCACCTTTTGCAAAAAGTCAATCCTTGTTAGTTGAACCACTTCTCTGCAACAAGCTTCCCACTTGCGTTCCCATGGCTCGAGATGCCACATGTCACGCCACCTAGTGTGTTAACTTTAACTCTTTGACTTCTTTGTTGGATCTTGAGTGACACAGAGGTTCTTCAGAAATCTCCTGAGTGACACGTGGCTTCTTCAGAAATCTTGTTCCTCCATTGATACTTGATGCAGATCTTGATGAATCTACAATCTCCCTCTTTTTACTTGAGTATGTCAATCCAAGCATCATGTACAGAGAAGCAAACACACATGTACATAGGAGCAACGAGCTGCACTTCGAGACACACTCCTCACTTAACAACACAACCTACTAGCTTCTTCTAGAGGTGTTTCCCAAGGTTTATAAGTCTCAATGTTTAAGATATCATCTAAAGTAATTCAGAGATATAAGAAAACATTGTCAATTCCCTCTATTGTAATCATAGCTTTGCTTTGTCATTCCTTGTTCTCCCCTACTTGGATACATACTCATGTAAAAACATTAGTCATTTAACTATATAGATTTGAAACAGGGAACAAGATCATACCTGAGAGTTTGATGTGAAGCCTTTGATTATAAGGTTTAGATTCTTGAGATCAGTAGGCAGACACATAACCTTTGGGTCTGGAGGAAAKTYTGAGAGAAACRAAGTGTTCTGGTCCASCTRAAAGCTYYTAGGTGCAACAGAGGTACTTGTTACAATCTGATCATACACCAGCTGCCAAAGTTRAACGARTTMGTGTTGGCAATCATTAACACYAGTGTTGCTCAGTCTTGTCTGTGTTGCGGACACATTCTCAATTTGTATCCAGTTGTAACAGACACTTTTGTACAGTAGTACCATTATCAGACACAGACGTGGTGATGTAAGATCATCCCAGCTTAGAGTAGTCCACCCCTATGTAGAGCCACTCCTTCCTGAATTGGTTCCTCACTCCAGGACATAGAGCGCCCGTAATCGTAAGACATATTAGGCAACATGATGGAGAGAAGACCATCATATTCAATTAGATTCTGAGCAGCAAGAACTCTTGAGATCCTCAGAAGTACCACACGCATCCCTCAGTCTCAAAGTACTTGTGATCATGAGTAAGCACAATACGATCATGAGCAAGAAGGGTAGATCTTCAAGAAGACACCGACTAGCCATTGTCAAGGACAAGATGAGAAGTTGAATATGTCGAGAAAACTCAGATTTGGCTCAATCTTAACGACCTTCTTGGATATAGCTTTATTGTCCTTAGAACCACCAGCCTTGTCTGAGACAGCACAGAGCCTGGATCATACTGGTAACAAGTTTTCATACACATCAGAAACCCTTTTTGATGACTTCAAAATCTTCGTTCTTGTACCAGAGAAGTTCGAAACACAGAGAAGAACAAGATATTATGTAGAGAGAGATCTCAACAACTGATAATGCACTCATCGATAATCTTCTTGTCCTAAGTAGTCTTAACATGCCCACACACAAACGTAGTCCATTAACACAGTCTTTAGTCTAATTTGTAAAAAGACAAATCAACATATCTAGACAAAAGAAAGAACCATCAGTAACACAAGATCCATATGTTTAGGATGAGAATGACAAAGGCCCAAATGCATTATACAAGACCCAATATTGTACATTTAATATATAATCTCAAAACCAATGACTCAGAATCAGATGCAGAGGAAAAAATTTGACTCTTAGACACTCATAATGCAATAATATCAAAGACACCAAAACGCTCAAATCAAGCCATTATGAATGGAACATAGTCCATTCGTGTCACCTTTAGAACTGATCAATCTATCTTAGGATATGCATCTTAACTTTCTTTAAGCATGACTTAACAGAATGAGCACTATATGACACATGATTAAGAAGGCTACAAGCACAACAAAGTATGCAACATTTGTTGAAACACAGATCAGACTGAGGCAATACTAGTTAGAGCAGCCTAAGTTTATCAATGCACAACTCATGTGACTTAACCAAAATAACTTCAGATAATGCTAATCTAGAAGCTAGACAGATGMAACACAAATCCTYAKGAATTAGGWYAAACAKATTCAAARGCTRTTGACTCAAATGAYAGTTACAAGGTGCAATCATGTATGCAACCATTGAGTTTCAAGAGACACTGAAGACAACATTTAGAGTGCGAAACACACTGATTTTCTGAGATCAGAACATGAGAGATAAGATGTGAGATACTTCAACAAAAAATATATACACATATATACAGAATAGAGACACCAACCCTTGAGGGTATGTGACACCACAGATTGAAGTCAAAACAACAAGTAGAAGCTTTTAGAAAGTGATCAACTACCAGCTCACTACGGTAGCTATTTCTCAAAAAGAGTTTTCACACTTCGTGATCAACTCAGACTAGTCTTCACATTAGCATACATGTTCGGAGTTAAGAAGGAAACAACTCAGAAGAGATGAAAAGAGGCAACGATGGCCTTTGGTTAGATACCCCCCTTTTTGTTGGTTTCAGTTTTATCTGAATAAGGCAACAGGTCAGGACTTTTCTCCCCCTGTGTAAAACCCCCTTTTCGTTCCAGGTTAGGACTTTTCTCCCCCTGTGTGACACAACACATTTTTTTTCTTTTAGGGGTCAGGACTTTTCTCTCCCCTTGATTTTCTTTAACATTTTTTGGTTCTCTTTTTTTTCTTTTGATAAAGACAAGAGCAAAACCCCAACAACCTAGAGAAGAGAGGTAAGATAAGGTAAGAAGGGAAGAAGGTAAGACAAGATTCTGAACATGCATGATGAGTAACTCTTTTCCTGAGCTGACTTGCCGATAAGAGGTTTTTATGAGGTGATCTGTACACGGGATTAAACACACCTGCCATCTTGAAATAACTATGTACCACACAACCAACCAGAATAGGTTAAGACTCAGTGCTCACAAAGAGTAAGGTAAGTTTGTGACTTAGCAACCATTTTTGAAAATAGAGTTTTGATAAACGATTTTTCGGACTGATCATCAGAGTGAATCAATGTGCTCTCAACTAGACATCGTTTGGCAAACTCTAGACTCAAATGGTGCTTATCACAAATATGCTCAATTTTTATTTTCGCTTGATACTCTAACAGGCAGTATGCAAGACATATGCAATTAGACTGAGAGAGGGGAGTGTTAGATATCATACCCCTGTCAGACAGAGTCTGTGTCACATGTAAGGACTGATCACAACTGCTCTTCTTAGCAGTGTGTTTTGACTCAGAAATGAATGACATGATATTCCCTTGTACCTTTTCTAGCACGTGGATTGGACTGTTTTTGAAGACAAGCCAGAACTTGTGTAATCTCCACCTGTTATTTATACTTCTTCTTCGTCCTGTGTCACACACAGAGACCATTAAACTGATATTTAACAGTAGACATGTGCTTACTTGTAGTTTTGCATTCTGAGGCACGAGGAATCAGGTTCCAAACAGTGGTTTGATCGAGTTCATCCAACTCTCTGTGACACTCCACAGACCCACTTCCATCCTCTTGAATTCCACTGAGAGTAATTTTTCCAGGCAGATGTTGCAGAGAACTAGTGTTGAGTCGCTTCA